TGATCAGACCAGAAATTTGGTGAATTAGCTATTAGTCGGTGTATTATCTCTTTATAAGGACCCTTTGGCAATTGACCCAAGATCGAACTGCGAGAACCAATCAAATCACTATATAAGAACAATCCATGGATCGGGGTGTTTAATTAATAATTTTTAGAATTTCGAAGTATAAATATTGTTTTATTGATCCAACCAGTAATTGGTGACCCGATGGCCTAGTCCAGACAATGTTTGAGTTGGGTCTAACCCCCTCAACCTATTAATTTTGTATGCAAAAAGCCCTTTCGAATGTTATCCATCCATATTTGCAATTTCTTCAAAGAGAGAGATTTCACGAAAAAAATGTTAGAATTATACAATGCAGAAGACAGAGATTTTAACTTTTTATTTCTTACGTGATACATATTTTCCAACTTAGTACACTAACTATAGCTTCCAATCTAAAAAGGAAAGTAGGAAGTTGTAACCATCATTCATCGTAGCACAACAATCAAATCAAGACTCATACATAGTTATTACATTTGAATTGAACTAGATGATCCGACCAAAAATTTGGTGAATCAGTGTCGGTGTATGATCACCTTATAAGGACCCTTTGGCAATTGACCCAAGATTGAACTGCGAAACCCGATCAAATCACTATATAAGAACAATCCATGAATCGGGGAGTTTAATGAATAATTTTTAGAATTTTGAAGTATAAATATTGTTTTATCGGTCCAACTAGTAATTTGGTGACCCGATGGCATAGTCTGGACAATGTTTGAGTTGGGCGTAATCCCCTCGACCTATTGATTTTGTATGCAAAAAGTCCTCCGAATGTTATCCATCCATTCTTTCCATCAAAAGTACATTTATTTTATGAAAAGACACTTATACCCTTACCCATTTATACACTTAAAGGATCGTATTTGCAAATTTCTTAATTCCCATTTTTCTTTAAATGCTATCACTGCTTTGCGACGATCACTAACATTTATCACAAATAAGTGCTAATAACCAAATAATGTCATTTAGTTACAATATGATGTTCCCTTTTTCTCCATTTATTCCATCTTGTTCCATTAGGGTTGGTTCTTTCTTTCTTTATTTCATTTTTTTTTTTTCAGTTTTTATTTTAAAATGTTCTCAATATAAAGTTTTGCAGTAGTAATTTTATTAACGTTGGGAGAATCAAAAATAATTTTGACAACTCGGGATAGATAACATGAGAGCATCTAGAATCACGAGGTGGAATCTAATTTTAATTTAAATTAGCATAATATAAAAATGTAAAATAGAAAATAGAATCATTAAAAATTAGATAATGCCGAGACCAAAGCGCAACTCAAATGCTAATGGTAAAACCTCGATCATTGGCCTGAGATTGAGCCTCCCTCGGGCCGACAAAGAGTGAATTTAAAACAAGCACACAATGCCAAAAAATTTAAATAAAAATTCTACTAAATTACACTACTCTCTCTCTCTCTCTCTCTCTCTCTCTCTCTCTCTCTCTCTCTCTCTCTCTCTCTAAGTCCAATTATAATGACATGAAACCAGGAAAAATAGAAGTGCTCATATTGGACGTCTGAAAATTACTTAAAATGACACTAGATTATAAGTGAAAAAAATTGTACCAATATTACTAACGAACATCTCCAATCGTGATATAAAATTGGCTGTAAATTGGTATCTCCAAAATCATTTTTGCATCTTCATTACATCTCGATGAATCTAAATTCAAATTCTACTCCAGTTGGAAAATCTAAATCCACTTTTACATTTTCTACCAAAAAATGCAATCGCATCCCCTTTGCGTCTCTTCATTGAAAATGTTTTTGACTACTTTGAAGATCTAAATCTCTATTTTAAACTATCATTGAAGATGCTCTCATTGGTAACAATAAGAAATGGCTGAAAATCAACACTTTATATCTCTCTCTTACTCTCACTCTGTACATATGTATTTCTATGTCTTTTTAATTTAGTAAGTTTTGGTTATAGCTGCAATGAAACATGAAAAATAAGAAATTTTGCATAAACGGTCGCTTAAGTGTATAAATGGATAAATGTTATAAATGTCCATTCATTGAAATAGATATACTTTTAATGGTAAGAATGGATGAAAAACATTCTGTAAGAACCTGTGGGCTTATGGGCTGGTTTGTCTTCCAGTTATTGGGTCAGTCTGTCTTCCTATTAATTCCTTTAAGTATTGTATTGGGTCATTAGTTAATGAAGTCCAATGGGTTATGCTTAACCCAGTCCAGTAGTAGGAATAAATGCCAGAGTTGACTGAGTCCACAGTCATGTCCGAGTCTTTAGGAAGAGTCTGTAGTGCAGTAGTCATGTTCCTTATTTTTCTGAAGTAGAGTCTGTTAGAGGAAGACGTGGGGAACTGGAAGTTGTGGTCATTTGTTTTGTATTTAATCTTGAAGATATATGAAAAAGTATCTATCTGGCAAGTTGCACCATCACAGGTGTTTGGAGGTGAATCCCCTCGAAGTGATTCAGCATTCATTGTTCTTTTTCACTCATATATCAAGTTGATTCCTAACACATTCGAAAGCACTTCTTGCACCCGACTTGATAGGTTGATAGGGTTAGCGTCAAGAAACAAGGTTAGAGACCATTATGCACAAAGGATTTAGGAAATTTTGTGCCCATTTTCTCACACATACACACACACACACACAAATGTTTATTTTTAAAAACAAGCCTTTCTTCTGTAGTCAACGATTAATTGAGATCATGAAATAATGATACTTTATTGTTTCCACATCCTGATACGAATTTAGGTTGCTGTAAAGTCCTTAAAAGCAGTGAGAGTTTTGAGAAGTCAAAATCCATAAATATAAAATTGTCTTAAGGAAGTAATGAGAAACAGTGCATGCATCTGCCAAATGACTGTATGATACATGAGCCCTTTCGAACGAGAACATAATCTATCATCAACCACACATTCTCTTAATAAAATATGTTTTTTTACGTTGATCCGTAGTTTTTTCTATTTTTTAGTTTTACAAACTCCAAAAATCATTCCTCTCTTTAAACAATCTCTCCTAAACAAACAACTAAACTAACTTGTATTTGCATTGGACTTTTACATGACCAATTGTCACATAGAATGGCGCTAGATAGCTACGCCTATCTAAATCACATCTTACAACAAACTAGTCACTCTTAAATATTTTTAGTATAAGTCAAGTCAGCTTGAACCTGCTAGACGACACTTGAATGTAGTTTAAATATCACAAGAATAGAAAAATTTAGAAGTGTTGAAAAGAAAGTCAAACGAATATAATATTAAACCATGGTATAAAACTTAGAAAATTCGACACTCATCGCATAATAAGTTTCTTCCTAATAAAAAAAAAATTGTTATGGTTTGTTATGAAATTTAAAGTTCCTTTCAATTTGTTAAGAGATAGTTTTTATTTACAGATTGATGAAATAAAATTTATCACATCTTCATCAGGGACTAACTGCGTGCTCGTTTGTAAGAGAGAGTTTTTATTTACAGATTGATGAAATAAAATCTATCATATCTTCATTAGGGACTAGCTGCGTGCTCATTTGGAAAAGTATAAAATGTTGTTAAAAAGTGGAGGTCAAAATCAACAATTAATTCTAGCGGCAGCTTTCATCGATTTTTATCATAATTTTTGTCAATCAAACCCTATATGATACATTTATCAAAATCTTTATCAAAACCTCTTTAATTTCAATGTAGGAAGTATAATTTATTTTATTGCATTATGTCTCAACTATTACTTGCCTTATGAAGCCGTTGTTTGAGCCCTATTTTTTCAACAAAAATACATTTTTCAATAGTAATTTGACATGGGTTAATTTCACAAACGGTCACTGAACTTACAGAAAAATTACAAAACGGTCGCTGAAATTTAAAATTTTCAGTAACGGTCACTTAAGTATTGGGACGCTTTCAAAAATGGTTACTGAAGTTTAAAAATTTTTGAGCTACTTTTGCGGCAATTTTTCAACCACTTCCGACTACCGATACCACAGGATTTTGATACCGTTGAAAAGCCTACAATGTCTTCTTCAATTACAACAAAAAATCTCCCCCAAACTCCAAAGGATTCGGCCAGAATAGATCCACAAAGTTGGCTACCCGAAAAGGCAAAAATCTGCCCAAATTTTTAGATTTTTGGTGGACTTTTGCGGCGATTTTTTGACAACTTCCGACCACCAAAATAGCCAAATTTTGATACTGCTGGAAAGCCCACAATTTTCTCTTTAATTAGCATCCAAAATTTCCCCAAAACTCCAAAGGAGCCGGCCAGAATAAACTCACAAAGTTGGCATCCCAGATTTTCGTCTTTTTGGGATGCCGACTTCGCGAGTTTATTCCGGCCGAATCCTTTGGAGTTTGGGAAAAATTTTGGATGGTGATTGAAGAGGATATTGTGGGCTTTCCAACGGTATCAAAATCCGGCGGTCTTGGTTGTTGAAAATCGCTAGAAAATTGCGGTAAAAGTCGCCCAAAAATCTGAAAATCTGCCCAGATTTTTTGGGGCGACTTTTACCGTGATTTTCCAGTCGAATTCCTTGGTGTTATGGAGAGATTTTGAGTGGTAATTGAAGAGGACGTTGTGAGATTTCCAACGGTATCAAAATTCGATGGTATCGATGGTTGGAAGTAGGCGAAAAATTGCCGCAAATGTAACCAAAAAAACTAAAAAAGTGTTTTTCAACTTTAGACCGTTTCAGAAACTTTTTAAACTTCAGTGACCGTTTTTGAATGCGTCCCAATATTTAAGTGACCGTTACTGAAAGTTTTAAACTTCAGTGACCGTTTTGTAATTTTTCTGTAAGTTCAGTGACCGTTTATGAAATTAACCCGATTTGACATTATTTCAACCACACATTTTTCAATAAAATAATATTATACGCAAATCAAAAAAAATTTCCTTATTTTTTAACAACACATTTTCCATCAATACACTATTCAAAATTCATTTTTTTCACGAAAATGAGGCTCAAACAAGGGCTAAATATCAATCAAAACTTGTCAATCCACTCATGCTGTCACACCCATATAGGTAGGCATCAAACACGACATGTCGAATAAGCGCCAAGCCTAAAAAATAAAGATACGTGAGATTTACATCTTTTCTACCATAAAATTCCAAACCAATTAATATTTCTGCCAGTTGATCATTGGTATTGTTGATGTTAATTGAAGTCGAAATTTCATTGATAGATTTCGTGCACTAGCGCATAATAACTTTGTAACCACAAAAATAAGGTGAAAATTATACGAGTCCAAGTCAACATATTGCAAGTCAATGTACTCGACAAAGTAATGATAGCGGAATGTTATTGTTGACACATAAAAATTCAGCCCAAATCGAACAGCCCAGAGAATAAAACCCAATGGGAGGATCCCCAAATCAGATAGCCCAAAGAACGAAATCCAATTGAACGAATCAAGGTGAATGCCCAAATAAGGGGCCCAATAGTGCGGTAACGCCATCGTCCAAGTTTGCAAGTCGCTCAGAGTCTGAACGAATAGAGTGGCATACGGTCGTCCAAAGTCTCGCCCAAATGTTCAAGTCGCCCAAGGTATCAACAAACATAACGCATTATGATGCAGTTATTGAGGCAGTTGCTAAAGTAACTTTATCGCGTTCCACGACTCAAGGGGTTCAATCCAAAGCGGTTGAACGATGCAAGATAATGGCAGCAGTTAAAAGGACAGTTGCATGACAAAATGGCCACTACAAAGAAAGTGGGTAGTTATAGGGCGATCAAGCAGTTTTTTAGAGCAGTTAATCACAAAGGGATCGCCTATGAAGTATAAAAGAGAGAAAGAACTTAGAAGAAAAGACCGAATCCAAAACTCTCGAACAGAGAATATGTAATTTTCATTCCTTTAGCTTTTAGACTTAAACATTTCCTTTTCTGTAACTCGTGTGCTTGCGCCCCTTGGAGGCACGTTGTTTTCCGTTTCCAATTGTAAAGTTCATCGCCAATAAAAAGAACAACCCTTTTTGGGACTTTGTCTCAAGAGGTTTCGTCCCTTACACAATCGTCTGATCCTCTTTAATTGTTAGCGAATTAAACCGCGCGAAACAATTTGGCACGCCCAGTGGGACAGTGGTGTTAGGTGTTGAAAGTGCAAAAAGAGAAACAGTATGCCTCAGAGATCCGACAAGGAAGGAGCAAGTCAGGGAGGAATCCAGTCTGTAATCGAGCGATATGAGGAGCAACATGCCTCTCCACGAACAGATGGACAAAATCAGAGCAGTAACAGTCGTTACGAACCAAT